TTAGTGTACGAGACCTTAATATAATTTCTAAGTATACGTTATTTTTTGGTTTTATAAGATTTATTGTTAATTTTAAGTTAGATTCAAAAGTGAAAAAATGTGTCAATAAAATTTTTATTTTGCATTAGTTGAATATTGTAGCCAATGTTTTGTAAAATTCCTTTAAAATTAAGAATAAGGCATTGGATTTATTCAACCCTTGCCCATCTTATTTTACGCCGTTAACGGGGTAAAAAGAACCAGGTGACAAATTTTTGAAAAACTGCAAAAAAAACATATTTCAACAATGATGAATTCGCTGAACATAGTTAGATAGTTGTTTGTTTAATATGTGGTATTTGTGTAATGCAATTAGTTTGGCTTTCACCATATAATTGCTCAAAGTCAAAATGGACCTTTGTACCCCGCCCTATCCTGCACCACGACCATCCGAGGCAAACAAATAATGTTTGTTTAATGCAACTTCTATAAAAAATCGTCCATTTATATTTGAGGCTTTTCTCTGAAGATTTTCATTATTTTATTAGAATTGTCAAAGTATTGCTTTTCTATTTAATATATTTGACCCGAAATGTTCGCATACTGAGCACGTTGCCAATATTTGTCTTGTTTTCATTACTGTCAATGCCTATATAATACTGAGGTATGTTATGAACATTGTTCAGCCACGTTAACGAGAAATGCTTCGAGGTTCATATTCTATGTCTTCAGTACACATTAATTAGTGTTGTGTTGACAGATACAAATGACCTGGAGTTTCATGGTTCAAGCTTGTATTGACCGATAACTTATAAATTATTGTGATATTGACAGTTCCTTCTCTAAAGGTGTCATTAATTAAATTCAAAATATATTCAGGTGAAAAATTTTTTATATACTCCTACTGACACCATATGATCTCTTTTATGATATTATATGATATGATATAATAATTGCAACAATAATTGGGTTTTAAGTTCTCACATAAAGTTCATAAACTAGCAATCTCAATCAGGGAGTATTTAAGCAATACTTTTATGAGCTTTTATGACAAAGCTTCTAACTGTTGTTCGGCGTTGAATTTATCTCCCCCGGGTTTTTAATTTTTTACTCGATTTTTTTTATTATGAAACTATCAAGTATTTTACCATTTTACAATCCTGATTAAATGCGCCAACTTTTGATCAAATTTGCCAACACACTTTAAAACATATTTCAAGTAGGCCCTCAAAAGCTTTCTAATTTGACCTATTTCCAAAATTCAAATTCACAGTTCAAAAAGAAGTCTTCATTCTTAAAAACTTGAGGCAATTGTGTCATTATTTTTGTCTGTGGTTCTAGAAATGTTATTCAAGGCTACCGGTCCAAAGTTTTAATAAATAATAGTAATTAACCATAATAACCGAAAATTTGTCATATTTTTTCTTACCAAAGCTCTAGATTGCACTCTAAAGCTCATGACCGTTACGGTCAATACTATCACCCCGTTTCGACATGATCTCGAGTTTTGGGACACCCTGTATATATATATATATATATATATATATATATATATATATATATACATATATACATCAGTGTTCATAAATATGTTTCTATCGTCACTGTGAATACAATGAATACGCCAACGCACAATTTATCACAAAGTGCTCGACATAAAATTCGACATAAATAAAATTCCGTTCGTAACATACTATACCATGAATGATAAAAAATGCCCTTACGCTTGATTGAATAATATAAATTTCTGGATATAAATAAGAAATAAATATTTCATAGCAAGAAATACATAAAAATAATATTGAATGTCTCATTAGCGCAACAATTGCTATATCTACAAATGGTAAATGAATTTGATGAAATATTTACAATTTTGAAGAAATGAAAATATTGATGAAATATTTACATAAATGCAATGTAAAAATGTAGCTTAGATCATAATCCATAAACTTTGTGTATATTATAATATACACTTATAATATAATTTATAACTTAGTATTTGTACTCGAAATAGATTAGGAACAATATTTGCTTTCATTTCCATGGGTTCTGTACCAAGATTTATAATGTATAAAGTTCAATTACATAGTTCACACTAACGTCTTCGATATTTTTGACAGTATGGTTCAACCGCATTGAAAGGGATTCAAATATTTTTTGTCAAAAATTTCAAAATTTTCAAAATAAAAAAATTACAAGGTTCTCTAAAACGTCAATTTTCTTCAAAACTTTCAAAATTCTCAAAAATACATTTTTTTATTTTAAAATATTTTCTTTAGTTGTTTGTTTTTTTTGGTTGTGAGCACTGTTGTTTAGTTTACGAGACTTTTAAGAATACGTTATTTATTTGTTTTATAAGATGTATTGTTATTTTTAAATTAGAATCAACATTTTTTTTATATAACCTCTATATGAGTTTACACGTGGGTGGGGTAAAACAACCGAACTGCACTTTTACCCTGGCAAAGGTTTAAACAATGAAAAATAGTAGATATAAAACTGAATTAAGTTGAAAAAAAGCAATTTTACAAGAAATAAATTAAATGATTAGTTGTTCCAACTCTGCTGATGGTTATTTTTGACAAAATACCAGATCAAGGTTACTTACGGCGTTATCTTTGTGAAAAATGTACAAATAAAATTTATATTTTGCGTTGGTTGAATAATGTAGCTATTATTTCGTAAAATATCTTTAAAATTGAAAGTAAGTTATTGGACCTGATTGCCCACTGGGCATCCCAATTTACCCGCCTATGGGGTAAAAAGGATCAGGTCGCAAATTTTTGAAAAACAGCAAAAAAACACATTTCTAGAATGATAGATAAGCTGAGATTTTTACTGGACATAGTCAGATAGTTGTTTGTTTGATATGTGGTATTTGTTATGAAACAATAGTTTTGGTTTTCACAATATAATTGCTCAATATCAAATTGGACTTTTGTGTCACTCCCTATCCTATAAGATTTTTAAAAACAGCAAAAAACGCATTTATAGAATGATGAATTAGCTGGGATTTTTACTTAACATAGTCAGATAGTTGTTTGCTCCATATGTGTTATTTGTTATGATATAATAGTTTTGGTTTTCACAATATAATTGCTCAATATCAAATTGGACTTTTGTGCCACTCCCTATCTTATAAGATACTATCAATTTTTTAAAAACAGCAAAAAACGCATTTATAGAATGATGAATTAGCTGCGATTTTTACTGAACATAGTCAGATAGTTGTTTGTTTCATATGTGTTATTTGTTATGAAACAATAGTTTTGGTTTTCCACAATATAATTGCTCAAAGTCAAATTGGACCTTTGTGCCACTCCCTATCCTATAAGATACTATCAATTTTTTAGAAACAGCAAAAAAACGCATTTATAGAATGATGAATTAGCTGGGATTTTTACTTAACATAGTCAGATAGTTGTTTGTTCCATATGTGTTATTTGTTGTGATATAATAATTTTGATTTTCCACAATATAATTGCTCAAAATCAAATTGGACTTTTGTGCCCCGCCCTACCCTAAAAGATTCACGTTCACGTGCAATTCGTAATGCAAAAGACTATAACTGCTATATATGACAAAATATCAAGTTAAACCCAGAGTCTCGCTATGATGACATGCAAATAGTGAAAATAAAAAGAAGTATTATAATTTAAAAACTTCACGAGAAGTTTATTTGGAAAGATAAATCAAAAAGTTGAAACCAACGATGCGTCAACAAAAAAATAAATCCCTATCATTGAATTATATAGTCCTGCCTGTGTTGTAATGTAATCAATAATTAAACTGTTAATCATAAAGCCTTTTACGAGATTCATTTCACAGAGTTTTCCCTTCCGTTTCCACAGCATCATCATCTTGCGATTCGTCCCGCGCTTTTCCTTTTCGTCGCGCTATTGGCGTGCTCCTGCGCGGCGTCCGCCCCAACGAAGCCGGCGCCCGGCAACGCAACGCCGCCCAACGGAACTCTATTCACGACGACTACTAACCCCCATGGAATCCCCACCGAGGACCTCTCCGCCTGGGCGCACAGATACTTGATCAGCGCACAGCGTTCCGAGTCAGTCGGCATCTGGCTTGGAGTCTGTTCGGATCTCTGCAGGTAGGTGCAGTGATAATATATACATACTTTGTATTTGCATCCCTTAGCCACCATAAAAAAGTTATGTAATATTGTTGTGAACTACAGTGATTATGTGAGTGATTATTAATTTTTTTTTTATTCTCTTTATTGAATTACAATCTGTCTTTACAAAAAGGAAGACATTCAGTAATTTTGATGATATATGAAATATTAAACATTAGATCTAAAAGGTTACCCAGTAGTAAGCCTTTTCAATTTTGATATATTAAATTTAAATTTTGTGATTATATAGAGTAAAGTGATTATTAGTGCGCGTTGATAAATTCCGAGTGATGAAAATACTTGCTTGTTAAAAAAAATATTTTTGTTATGTTCTTGTTCATCTTCATTATAGATAAACAAGTACAAATCTTCATAACTTTATAATTATCACACCTACATATGTTTCTTAGTATGTGTGTAATAATCGTATAATATATTCATATATTTATCCAGATAATTAAAATACTAACAAATACTAATTAACAAATACAAACAAATTAATTTTATACAAATTTGCTAGTAGCAATAATAATTATTTTGTAGTCAATTTTTAATCACGTTTACTATTACATCTAATGCAAACAGGTGAATTATCAAAAAATTGTGATTCATTTATATTACATACAAACGTAGTTTGTAAGATATTAATCACAACAGCTCATAGAACCCATAAGTTCTGATCGCTGTTCAAATAAAAAAAAAAAAAAAAAAAAAGAAATTATAGTACATTGTACTAAAATATTTTTTAACAATGCAATTTGTTCTATTACTTGACTAATAAATATTTGTTCCTAATTATTCATGTGTTTTAATACTTTTTTTTAACAGGGCCGGTCTCGGTGGAACCCCATGCGGCCCGACCTGCGTGGCGGCCACCCCGGATACGATGATGATGGGAATGCGCGTATCCGGGGTGAGCTCTAGGCCTCGTCAGGAGGTTTGCCCAATTTTATGCAACAACAATCTGGGTGAGTAATAAAATTTAGATCTACAATAGAACTTCGATTATCCGGACCTCGGTTATACGGATTCTCGATTATCCGGATTACCAACCGTAAACAATTTATATGTATGTACGTACCTACAATTCAAATTTTAGTATGATTAATGTTGCAATTTAGTACATGTTTGCAATGTAATCAAAGAAAATATGTACGTAAAAATATATGGAAATGTTAATTTCTTAATAAACATTGATTTTCGTTGATATCTATGTATGTAATTGTTATTTTCGATTATTCGAATGCCCATCCACAACAATTAGTCCGGTTAATCGAGGTTCACTGCATTATATTATATATCAAACCTATTATATATATATATATATATATATATATATATATGTGTGTGTGTGTGTTTTATGTAGGGTAGGGCGGGGCACAACAGTCAAATTTTACTTTCACTAATTTCACTGTATAAACTAAACTGAACTACCTGACAGCACATAACATGCATCAAACAAACAACAATCGAACCCCTAATTATAGATATTTGTTTTCTTACTATTTTTCTAAAATTTGTCATCTGGCCTTTTTTCACTCATGGGCGGTGTAAGAAAAGACAGCCAGGGCGCAAACAGATTCAACGTCTTTTTTTTTTAGTTTTAAAGGGATTTTACGAAATAATAACTACATTATTTAACCAATGTATTTCGTAAGAATATTCATAGCAGAGGTCGAATAACTATTAATTTAATTTATGTCTTGTAAAATTGCTTTTGTAACTAAATTTACTTTTATGATTTCTTTTTTTTATTGTTTACATCCTTGCACATATAAGCTTTTATAGTGGTTATATTAAAAAATCTGTTAAATCTAATCTTAAAAGTAACAATACATGCGCAAACATTTCCAACGTTTTTTTTCAACTTCGAAGGGATTTTACGAAATAATAACTACATTATTCAACCGATGTGAAATACAAATTTCATGGGAACATTTTTTTACAAAGATTTTTTGTATATAACCTTGATCTGGTATTTTAAAAGAATATTCATAGCAGAGGTGGAATAACTGTTAATTTAATTTATCTATTGTAAAATTGCTTTTTTAACTATATTTACTTTCCAATTGCTATTTTTTATCGTTTACATCTTTGCCAATGTCGTATACATCTTTATTTAGTCGTTTTTACCCCACCCACATGTAAGCTTTTATAGAGGTTATATAACAAAATCTGTTAAATCTAATCCTAAAAATAACAGTACATTTTACAAAATATTTAAATGACGTATACCTAAAAATTATATTCAGGTATCATAAACTAAATACAAGAGCTCAAACTTAAAAAAACTAACGGGTGGCTCATCTAGTGGTCCTAGTGATCTTACGGTTTAGATATTTCTGTAAAGAAAACATAAAAAGTATTATACATCATTAGAAAGTTCTCAAAATTCTTAGTTTTTTCCCCATATATCGAAACTTCGAATTCCGCACGGTGTGGCCTACAGGCAAGTTGCTATCGATAAATTCCAATTTTTAAATGGGCCACCCTATATCAACGAAAAAAAAAAACTTTTGGTATGACTATTAATACATTTCTGTTTATCTCTTGATAGCGACTTCGCCAGAATTGTGGTAACACATTTTTTGTCTTCTACTTTAAAATAGTATCACTGAAAAATTCTATGCTTTGCTTGTTTTTTGAGATAATGCTGGTGGAGCTTTTTACCCGCGGACATTTAAGTCCCGCTCTACCCTACTGAGTTGGGGTCGTAAATTATTAAAAAATTGAAGGTATAGGTTTAAAAATAATATATTTTTATTATTACCCAAATTGTTGTTAGGTTATCCTCTATGTGGTTGCACGGTTCATACAGTCCGCGCCGGTACTCCAGATTGGGCAGGAATATGTCTCGAATTTTGCAGAACCCAAGGTATGTCTTTGACTGGATGTGCTTCATGTGAAGAACTTGAGGCATTGAACAACCAAACCAACGCCCAATTAGAAACATCGCCGCCGCTTGCTAGGAGTCAACAAAGAACATATTCGTCGCAGCGTGGTGCGGTATTTTTTTCTAAAGCTGTAGCAGCAGCAAGTAACAATCTCAATGATAAAACAATTCATTTTAATGATGCTGATATTGGCGGTACTGATCCTGGGGACTGGGAAGAATGGTGCAACCTGGTATGTAAGACTGGTGATGGGGGTGCGGCTTGCAACTGCGATCTAGCGCCGCTGTATTGAAAATAATCTGAAGCAGTGGGTACTTAACGGTAAAATTTTTGGTATTTTCGATATACAATATGTAATTTTTTAATATTCCTAATTCAAACACACTTCCAAGTAAAATTATTAACTTTTTACCAGCTTCTTTTGGGTTTGCACAACAATTATATTCGTAATTGTTTAAAATAATATTTACTAATATAATATTATATATATGTAAAAAGAACATAACGATGGGTCGTATTTGTCGTATTATCATTTTTCTTTCCGCGCATAAATGTTTTTATGTGTATAAAATAAATAATTTGTGTAGAATGCAATTCCTATTCAAACAGTTTAAACATAGTTATCAAAGCACTCACATGCACCTTTCACAATAATGCACATTAATTCCACAAATTTGCACTCAAATAAAACAACATGCACTTCTGCACATTATTTTCTCACTGCACATTAGTACCATTATTTTGTATATTGCACTTATTGTACAAGAAATTGTGAGATTGAATTCTTCGATAAAATGTTATTGTTGCGACAAGGCTATGTTACGGACCTATCTTCATCTAAATTGGTAGTAAAAACTGTCAAAATGATCAGGCGTTTTACACTTAAAACCTAACTTCTCGTGTGTGTTATCAAGGACACATTAGGAAAATGCACTCATGATAACATTGGGCGTTTTTGTAAGATAAGGTTTTGTGTATAAAATGCCTGACTGCACAGCAAATACATAGCTTTTATTAGACAGTTTCTACTACCAATGCATATGAAGATTGCATTGGACTGCAACATAGCGTTACCATAACAACCCTATGTTACATTTCTATTTTATCGGAGAATTGTCTCCTGAATGCACAACACTAGTTAGATTTTTGGCTTTTTTCTAAATAAATACAATAATTGATTTTTTTATAAAATTTACATGTTGCACGACTATCATTATAAAATTGCACTCTTTCTAACACCTTTGCACTCTTTTCATTATATGCACTATTATCGTCAAAAAATTCGCACTTACTAGATGTATCAATAATGTAATTAGATTATAAGACTTACTAATGTATTTTGAATTTTAAATCTTTGTAATACTGCATATACCTTTCACAAGATTGAACTGAGCTTTTTCTAAATGTTAGTCTTCATATTGTACGATAACTATCTCACTAGAAGTCAATATTTAATATAACTTAACAGTAACCCATAAAGATGATATACGATGAGTAGTATACTTCGACGTTGACAATTTTACTGTTATAATTAATATATTTGAATGGTACCCACCGCTTGTCTAATAAAAAATGTAAAAATTGAAATCTCAGAAATCTTTTTATGTGAATTTAAGATTTGCATAAAGCGTAGTCTAGCGGCCATGATCCTACCGATAAAAGTGATCAGGACAACGCTTTGAGCAGACCTGGTTTGCATTTAATTAAATATAAATATGCTAGTGCACTTTTAATTCAACATATATAACACAAAAAAAATTATAATATTTCTAGTGCACGACCATTTTTATTAAGAAAAAACAAAATATATTTACATGTTATATTTAAAAAAATTCAATGTATAACCGCATTTTGAGCTTTAATATTTTGAGACAATAGTAATATTTATAATCCATCTCTTAGAATTGTCACAATATATATATATATATATATATATATATATGTATATATATACATACGTTGCCAATTCACTTGTAGTTTGAAAAGCTTTTTTATAATAACAATCTATTTGTCTCCGGTTTCAATATGCGCGCATCTACAAATTATCAAACTTGAATTTTTCATATAATATAATAAATTATATTATAGAGTCGTTTAATTATCACAACCAAAAATGTCATCGACCTACATATCACTTTTGGGGTTCGCCCCAATAGTAAAATTTCGTAGTTAACATTCCCGCCGGGATATGTGTAATATTTAGTAATAGTTGCTGTAAATTGACATTTTATTCATTATTTTTTCGTATGTTAATTGTTGCATAATATAACTAGTTATTGTCTAAATTGTTTAAAATTCGAATTAAGACGCCGGTTTTCTGCACATCAAACATTACTGTTTAGTTAAAACTGTTAAAATAAATAGTTCAGAAAGATTTTTTTATTTATTCAATTTTGTCGTTGGTTAGCTTTATGGTAGTGATGAATATAATTATCATAATATCTAGGAAAACCGGCAAAAAATATTTGAGTATAAAGTGAAAACAACTAATCACAAAGGGCTTCCAAATTAAAGTTAATACCACTGTATAGCAATATAAAAACAATTCCAATACAGTTACATCAAAATATATTTTTCTGATAAAAAATTCGGTAAAAATTGGAATAGACCATATCAAAAAAAGATTAAATTAAATAATTAAAAATTATTATCTGTAATATTTATTATTTAAGCATTAGGTATAATGAAAGTACCCACATACTGTTGTGCTGGGACAATAATACGTAGAAAATAAGCCAGTTAGTTTCTAATCACATGAAACAGCATGGTGTTCTGTCTTTAAGTATATTATATGTTGAATTTAAAATTATTATAAACGCTTGTATATTATGCCAAAATATATATTTCAAAATATATTGAAATTAATGTTTTATTTGCTCGATGATTGAAATGGTCTCAGGCAAAACCAGAAGTATAAAAATGACTATGACTAAACTTCAGTCTATCAAGGACGTTGTTAGATCAAATTCATTAGAGAATAAGTAAAAGAAAATCTAAGGACATAATTTTTAAGTGCATTAATGTTCAATTTTTAAAGATTTTTGTGATTCTCCTTGGTAATTCATGGTGATATTTAGAATTACCACACCCTCCCACCTAACATTATGTGTATTTTAGTGCCTAGAAAAAGTTTAATTTTTATATTTTTTTGAAATTTTTTGATTTTTTTTAAATTCAGGTAAACAAAAAATACGCGTGACATCTCACAAGGCTCCCCACCCATCACGTAATATTTTGTGATTTTTTATCAATCGCCCCCCCCCCCCCGCTCCTTTAGTGATTAATGGACGGCTTAGGGGCCGTAGTAAAAAATTTGAAATGCTCAAAAAATTTCACAAAATATCAAAAAACTAGTTAATATTATATCCTTAATCAATGTAGAATAACGTGCCAATGCGATAATAAAACAAAAAATAGTATATTCTGAATTTCTTTTTTTAACTTTCAGTAGGGTAAGTTATAGTAATCGCAAAAAAATCGAAAATAAAAATGTTTATATCTTTACGTTTCAAAGGTTTCTGAACATTTCGGCAAAGCTTAGAAAAATTTGATGTGTTGTGTGTGTGCGTGTATATATGTATGTTCAGATACAAATTTTCGTCGATGATTTCGGGAACACGGATGAAGCGATTTGAATAATTCAAAAAACATTCGATTCGTATTGATAAGGAGACGTGCTGATTAGTTTTTGGCGAAGGCAGGTCCAGCCGTTCCGAAGATACGAGGCAAAAAGTGCCAAAAACGGTAATTCAGTTGTTAAGAGAACGGAGTGTCCGATTTTAATAATTCAAAAAACATTTTACTTGTATTGACAAGATGAAGAATTGATCATCATAAAGGCAGGTCTAGCGGTTTCGGAGATCTAATGAAAAAAGTAAAAAAAAATGCCATTTGGCGGACAAAAATGATCATTAGACATATGCACATCAAATTATCAGACATTTTATAGATATTTCAATAATAAGAACAAATTTTGTTTACATTTCTATGGGTTCAGTACCAGAGCTTGTCCGTTAGACTACGACGCGGCGCTCACGCGCTTCTATATTTCTTTCTACGCAGCTAACGTATTGCGATTGCGATTGCTTTGAAAAACAGATCTTTTTTTTTTCAAAATATTTCAAAGTATAATGAAAAATTAAAATATTTTAAAAAAATAAAAAAAATTATAATTCCCAAAAATCTATTTTTTCAAAGTTCTAAAAAGAAGTGATTTTTTTTTTTTTTTTAATAATTTTTGGTACGGGAATTTCCCTTAATTTGCCTTAGGGCACGACTAGTTTGAGAAGCGTTTATACTACATCTGTCCTCTAGAGCCAAAACTTAGAAAGAAACCTTTGAAGGATATTTTAAAGGGCGAAATATATGATTCCTGAACAGGATTCGGATCAATCCTACGATACAATATCAGTAAGTTTCAATGGGGCTAGGTGGCTGCCCTTGGAGAAACAAATAAACACACCTCGTCGCATTCTACTAGGAGCATTTCTGAGCATTTCCATCCCGAGCCGAGACTCGATCCACGATGAGCACATGACAGTCACGTTCCGCAATATTTGCGTCGGTCGCAAAAAAGAAGTAATGTCACACGTGAATGAAAATTAATATTGGCTGTAAAGCTTACCATTTAGTGTGTATATATAACACCTTTTTATTTACACATGATGAACACAATAAATATGAGACAATCACGTGTCCATTTTGTACATAACAAATGTTTCTGAAGACAGATGTCAATTCATATTGAAAAGTGTTATATGTTTTTTAATGATTTAATTACTGTACTAGGGTTTTTATAACGATATTTTTTCTATAAATTTACGTAATTGTGACAACAAAAAGGGGCATGTGTGTTTCAAAATATAAACATTTCTTTGTGGAAAATATTGTAATAAAAAGTTGAAGTGCTGAAGATATATAGATAGAGTACAGTAATTGATTTTTTCGAAATGGCTTTGTTTTCGTGGTTAACTTTGTTAATATAGAAATTTGTTAATGTGATTTGGTTTATTTATGCACTGCTAATTACTTAAATTGCAAGGTAAATGAAAAACATTAATGTTACGTCAGGGTTCAAATTGTCATTATTCTTTGACAGCGGTCCTATTTTGATACAACTTTGAAAATTGTTTGTTATTTTGATATAAATTATATTTTACATATAATTTTATACACTCATTATAATATATTTAATCATTTTAACCGAATACATTTAATTATGCACATACTCAATTATAATTATATCAAAATTGCGATTAAAATCAACAAACTCCATTAACTTAATATATTGTTGAAAACTTGAATTTTCAATGACAGCAAATAACATAAATCAATTTTATAATTTCATACATATGTATGAAAACTTAATCTTTAATAATTATTACTTAATGAATTCGTAAATTATTAAGTTATTTATTGCATTATATAGATCATGTTATAGATTTGTTAATAAAAGATAATTTTAATAACATTCTAACTGTCAATTTAAATCTTTAATGACATTCTCATTTTGATATTCTTGAATTATACATTTTGTTCAAATATAAATGTGAAAAAATATAAATGTTTCTTATAAATAGTATACACCTTACTTTCTTTCAACTCATTCACTTACATTGTTTTCACCTTCACCTACATTCTTTTCAATAACTTTATTATATTGAAATTTAAACTGTAGTAATTCAAATATTTTCAAATCTATGTAAGTTTTTTATAGGTATAATTGATCATATTTTGAACTCCATTCAATTTTAAATTTTTTTATCCAATTTTCAAATGATTATGAAAATATTTACAGAATGCCTGGCACAAATTTAGTTGTCCCCGTAGTGCTGTGGGGTCATTCAGCACCCACTCATTGTGTCTCTTCAATATTTTTGTCACGAGATCAAAAAACTTTAGTAACAGGGTGCTATGATGGACAAATATGTTTATGGTAATATTGAAGTATATATATGTATATATATATATATTGAATGGTAGAGTCTTGGATTTGTGTATATTTTTTGTAGAGTTTCGAACAAGAATCCAAAAATAATACAAAATAAAAAAACAAGAAAAGTTTTTAATAAACAATTTCTTTATTTAATTATTTGTTTACTGTCAATGTTTCGGAACTAGGTACGTTCCATCTTCAGGACATCTGTCAAGAAACATGATCTTGATAAGATTTAAGCAAACAATATGTTTAAGAATATTAAGAAAATAGATTTTTCTTAAATAATAAATTAATTGTAACAAATAATAATGTACAGAAATATGATAATATGATCAAAATGAAAATGATAAAAATAAATGAGTGGATTATTAGAACAGGATATTAAAAATGATAGAAATTTTTTGAAAGTTATGGAAAAATTTTTTAAGAAAGGATTAATGATAAAATTGAATTAATTACCTGTATGTTTGAATATACGTTAGCACTTTTTCACTAAACAAGAATTTTTGACAAAAAATGAATTTGTGAGTTATTTTTCCGCCGAATAGTTAACTTTTGTAAATCAAAATTACTAAAAGTGTTGTCTTTTTAAAATTATTATTTGAAAACAAATAATATTGTATTCGAAGTTATACTATTGGCTTTTGGAAGCGAACTAAACTGTATTTGATGGATTCATATGTAACACGTGTAAACACTTGAAACGAGAACTGTGAGATTGTATGTGTGTGTTTTTTTCTCATGTTAGGGTGTAAATACTTAAATTATTGAACTTAAAATGAAGTCGATATTAATTGTTTGTCAAAAAGTGTAAAAAATTTAAATATGAATCATGTAATAGGTTGTGATCTGATCTAATGTTGACACTGTTAGAAACATTCAAGAGAATAAGACAACTCTCCGCGAATAATCTCCTAAAAATGCAACTTTCATGATATAAAATCTTTGGAGTGAAATTAAATGAATGGGCGTTTTCTATAGAGTGTTGTACTAGGGTACTGGTCCACCATAAACAAAAAAATTTCAAAAGTACCCTAGTACAACACTCTATAGAAAACGCCCATTCATTTAATTTCACTCCAAAGATTTTATATCATGAAAGTTGCATTTTTAGGAGATTATTCGCGGAGAGTTGTCTTATTCTCTTGAATGTTTCTAACAGTGTCAACATTAGATCAGATCACAACCTATTACATGATTCATATTTAAATTTTTTACACTTTTTGACAAACAATTAATATCGACTTCATTTTAAGTTCAATAATTTAAGTATTTACACCCTAACATGAGAAAAAAACACACACATACAATCTCACAGTTCTCGTTTCAAGTGTTTACACGTGTTACATATGAATCCATCAAATACAGTTTAGTTCGCTTCCAAAAGCCAATAGTATAACTTCGAATACAATATTATTTGTTTTCAAATAATAATTTTAAAAAGACAACACTTTTAGTAATTTTGATTTACAAAAGTTAACTATTCGGCGGAAAAATAACTCACAAATTCATTTTTTGTCAAAAATTCTTGTTTAGTGAAAAAGTGCTAACGTATATTCAAACATACAGGTAATTAATTCAATTTTATCATTAATCCTTTCTTAAAAAATTTTTCCATAACTTTCAAAAAATTTCTATCATTTTTAATATCCTGTTCTAATAATCCACTCATTTATTTTTATCATTTTCATTTTGATCATATTATCATATTTCTGTACATTATTATTTGTTACAATTAATTTATTATTTAAGAAAAATCTATTTTCTTAATATTCTTAAACATATTGTTTGCTTAAATCTTATCAAGATCATGTTTCTTGACAGATGTCCTGAAGATGGAACGTACCTAGTTCCGAAACGTTGACAGTAAACAAATAATTAAATAAAGAAATTGTTTATTAAAAACTTTTCTTGTTTTTTTATTTTGTATTATTTTTGGATTCTTGTTCGAAACTCTACAAAAAATATATATATATATATATATATATATATATGTGTGTGTGTGTGTGTATTAGAGATGGGCTTATCATATCCAAAGCCGGATCGGTTAGAATTTGACTCCGCTTCAGGGAGGAGTTATATTTACTTAACTACTCCGACAACTTTAAAACCAAAATACTCGGCACAAATGTGTTCTATAGTGTGTTGTTTACGTATCTAAGGATTTGTCAAATCCCATTAATTATTTGAGATTCTTTTATAAGCAGTTCAAACATATTTGAATATTAGAATTTGAATTTATTATTGATATTAACACTGATAAATTTTGCACTCTAAAGCATCGTTATTTCTGGCTATGAAAAAAACAGATTAAATGTATTTTATTTAGTGTATTTTTTGGTATGTATATTCCTGATTGCCGTCATTCACGCTCAAAGATTGTCATAGTTAGAAATTGACCCCTTGCTATTCAATAAATTATACATTTGAGCTATACACACTTGAACACAATTTCATTGTTCTGTATCTTTGAAATAATATTTTTGTATTTTCTGGAAAATACACAATGGCATTATTTTGACTCGTATACCTAAAAGGTCATAAAACTGTGTTACCCATCTCTAATATGTGTATATATATACATACATACATACATATATATATATATATATATATATATATATATATATATACACCTAAGTCTGTTTTTACACGGAGATTGGTTCCAGAAGAATCCGTGTAAAAAAAAAACGTGTAAAAAAAGACATTGATCTTATACAAAAATGGGTGATTTGTTCCTAATCTCTATAACCTATTAAAATTGGTGAAAAACAAGAATTTTTAAGAACAAGAATTAAATTAGTGCTATTCACATTTGCTTTGACCAGTAAAAATTGTTTGTACGCGCTAAAGGGGAATTCACTTAAATTTTTAAGCTAGTGTTCGCAAACTATCGATACTATCGATGGTTTCAGACTTTTTTCTTTCATAAATACTTTTTGTGATATGAACATACTTCGCAAAAATTTAATTTGACAAAAAAAATTTAGGTACATAAAATTTAAAATCGTGCTAAATGGAATAAATTTGTGTAAAAAAATTAAAAATATTCAATTTTCAAACCGTGTTATATCAAAACCGTGTTCAAAAAGACCGTGTAAAAACAGACTTAGGTGTATATACATACTCTTTGCTTTGTTTTGTTATAATTGTATTCACAAAGATATTGGTTAAACTTTCTGACATTAATATATGATTCTTGCATTTCTAAATAAGATTTTTTTACATTGACTTTATGCTAAATATGAAAATAATAGATCATCACAGAGGCATGTTTGTTAAAAGTTGTTTCTAATACTTGCATCTTTTTTGCTAATCTAAAATTATATAATTAATTATTATATACACTTATTGAATGGACATTAATGAGTCTATTACATTTTATTAGGCAAGTTGACCCAGACACAATGAAACTGACCCCAAGATGTTTATTAGTAGGACATACAGCTCCAATATTATGTTTATCTAGAGTTAGTATTATTCAAGACAATAACTTTTTAGTAAGTTCATCCGAAAGTGGTGAAATGTGTACATGGGATTTAGTAGATGGTAAATGCAGGGAAAGTGTGAAACTAACTCAAGTTCATACGAGTATACAGGTAAGATTTGGGGTATAATGAAAAAAATATTTTCACAAAATATGCTTTATAGTCAGCTAATATCTTGAGACATTTATGAATAAAAAATAAAGTATGAATAAAAGTATAAAATATAATAAGAGTAAAATAAGTATAATCAATAAGTTTTTCTAAGCTGATACATCAAATAAATGGCAAAGATTTGTACGTTAATCTTTAATTTTCCTTAATAACATATTTAAAATAGTTAATACATTTTGAGTTATTATCTTCAGTTAAATAGTAATTAAAGCATTTTTGTTTCGACTATGACCTTAATCTTAATTAAAATAAGAAAATCAGTAAAATGTAATAATTTGTATTAAACCAGTAAAATGTTTTGTTTAATTAAAAACTGTGCAAATTTTTCCACACAGTAATGAATTTCTATCAGTTAGTGATATAATATTTTTCATAATGATTTTTTATATTTATTTTTTTTACTTTTGAGTACATTAATATGCTGCATTATTTTATTTAGGCTTACCATATGTCAAACTGTGATGATATTAGATTATTTTGCAATGGTTATTATGCTGAAATCCTTATCATGGATCCGTTCAGTCTGGAAATACTTTTTTCTCTATCTTCAAAAGTTAATCCGGATTGGATATCCGCACTTCATGTAAGTATTATTCAATGATTATTTATGTAAATGTTTTAATAAGATTTTTAACTTTGATTATTTGTCAGTAATATAATTTGAAATATCACTACACTTATTTGCCATTTTTGTCTTATGTACATTTATTCGAGTTTTATTATTTTGTGTATATACATATTTACATCAATATTTACATATAACATTATATTTACATTTTGTATTCATTTACAGAAACAATTGTATTATATAACTCCCTTAAATTTGAATAATCAAAATGTGCAACTTTTCTTAGATGTTTTGTGATACCCATATTTATAATTTATTATCTAGGTGTTGAGACCGTCCAAACGTAAAGATGATGTCGTATTGGCTATCACAACAACTGGAACAGTAAAAGTATGGACATTGTTAGGACATGAAAATAAACATTCTGAGCCAATCTATGAAAATGAGTCAAAACAGGTATTAATATTTTATTTATATATATTTTTTCTTGTTGCTTCAAACTTCTAGTAACAATTAATCTTTCAGATTCGTTGTTTAAATGCAATATCTATGAATTGTTGCCCTTTTAACCAAAGAACAGTACTTATAGTTTGTGCAAAATTCTGGCAAATATATGATGCAGGAGATTTTAGTGTACTTTGTTCTGTTATATCACCTGTTGGAGAAAGATGGATGTCAGGAGATTTTTTAGGACCTGATCGTGTGCTTTTGTGGTCAGATGAAGGCAGGGCATACTTATATAAGTTACCAAGCAAGTAAGTATATAATAAATACAGAAGAACTATCATACCTTTCATTTATGTTAGCAACCTTCCTAAATCTAGTAGTATTGCGGACAATAAAGATTTTCATGCTGCCTCAATTGAGAAGGATACTCCACTCTTGTATTGCATCTTGGCACAAAATGGAGAAAAGGTAAGAACGGATTAATTATTAATATTTAGTTTGGTAAGATAAATAGAGCAATGATATAATTTGTAGTAATGATTATTAATAATATATTTGTTTTCTTGTAGCCTTTATCATGTCCTCCAGCTATGAGATTTGTTACAACGGCAGCTGGTGGAAAATCTAATATGTATATGTTACGCGGTGACTCAGAAGGAACTGTTACTATTTGGTCTGTTCCTGAAGCATGTCCAGTAAATGCACCACATGAAACAGGGAAGCCGCCTGGTATGTTTGAACATTTCTCCAGCTTATGGGGGAATTTTAGACTAGAAGTTTTAAGAAATCTTATAAGAGATATAGCTTTTTGACCACAATAATATTCTCTTCTGCTTTCTTCTTTCTGGATCATAGTAACTGTTTATTATTCTATTTTATAATTGCTACTTATTATTTTTAGTTTTATCTCCAACAATTACAACTAGCCTTATGGAAGCTTGGTCAGAAATGAATCCTAGTCCTGTTGGTATTCTAGATCAATTTATACATCCAGATGAACCACATTGTAAGTACATTCATCAATGCAAACTTCATTTTTATTATTTATATTTATATAATATTTGTATATTATAATTTATGCATTTCAATAGCTATCAAACTTGCGTCCAGCATTTATCTACCAGAGCATTCCAGACTGGTAGTTGGAAGGGAAGATGGAAGTATTATCATTGTTCCAGCTACACAAACAGTTATGTTACAATTACTCCATGGTAACCATCAGCAATATGTTGGTAAGTTATTTTAAACAGACATATATAATTATTATATATATTATACTTCTATTTCCACTACCTATTTCAGATTGGCCTCCTCATCAGCTGTTAACTGGTCACCAAGGTAGAGTAAATTGCTTGTTGTGCCCATCTTTAGCCAACAGCCGTTACGATCGTGTTCATTTAGTGTCTGGAGGAGTAGATTTTGCCGTTTGTTTGTGGGATATTTACTCAGGTGTCCTTTTGCATAGATTTTGTGTCCATGCAGGTGAAATTACTCAGTTACTAGTGCCTCCTGAAACTTGTAGTGTAAGATTATCAATTATACTGGTTTCCTTATTTTGATGTAATGAAACTATATGTATCTTTTTTTTCTTCAGCCTCGTATTCAAAAATGCATTTGTGCTGTTGCTTCAGATCATAGTGTCACATTGCTTTCATTATCTGAAAGAAAATGTATAACACTGGCAAGCAGGCATCTTTTTCCAGTAGTTAGTATAAAATGGAGACCGTTGGACGATTTTATGGTGGTGGGATGTTCAGATGGAACAGTTTATGTCTGGCAGATGGAAACCGGACATCTTGATCGAGTACTTCATGGTAGAACTCTTAGTTATCTGATAATTACAATTAAAATTCATATATTCTTTATTAAAGCTTTTAGCAAATAATATATTAATATATTATTATGTATTAGTGCAGATAATTGATGAAATTTGTTTTGTTATTAACTATTTTTAAATTTTTAGGAATGATAGCTGAGGAAGTTTTATATGCTTGTGATGAAAACACAACAAGTTCTGCATATTCAACTTCAGAAATGGGTTTAGCAAATCCAGCTGTTCATTTCTTTAGGTACAATCTCTTACTATATATAGTATTAATTTTTTTACTATACAAAAATATTACTTAACAATTTTAGGGGTCTCCGGCACAGAAATTTATCAGCTATTCGACATGCTACTCAAAGGGGCTTGCATCAGCTGCAACAGTTGCATTCCCACCATCAGCAGGATTATAGCGCTGGTTTGAAAAATCGCGGTGCTCCTTTGGTGATTCAAGGATTACGAACAAATCCTAAGGGCAAGTATTATATCATAGATTTTAATACTGTTGTAATAATTTTTACATTGTATATATTTTATATATTGTGATTGTACTAATATTAATAAACTAACTTGTGCTTACAGACCCTGAAAGTCATATACTTTTCTTTGATATCGAGAGTCTAATTGTGAAGCTATTAAGTGAGGAATATGCAGCCATGAGTCCCGATAGTTTAGAAGTAAGTTATATTTTTATTTTAATTATATTTCATAAAATAATTCAATGTGCTTAATTAACTTTCAAAGATATGGACTTTTATTTACAAAAGTAAAAATTTACAGCAAGCTGGTCTTAGCGCTCAGTCAGAATATAAAAAAGTAACAGCATTAACACAATCAGCTAGTCCAGATGCAACTAAAAAGATATCAGGTAAAATGACTTATAATTTTAATGAAACATCAACTAGTCAAGTTAATTTCTAATTTAATGTCGTACCTAACAAATACAATTTCCAAATAATTAAGAAATATATATGCTTTATAATCGCATTTGTCAGATTTCTTTGGCAAGGTGAAGGACAAAGCTGAGGATATGGAAAGAATTCTTAAAGAAAAAGATAAACATGGTTTGTGATTTACAGTAAACAATTGGACCATTTTTCTTTTTCTTTTGGTTAAATTTTTTTTCTCTTTGCATGATTATTTTAAATTGTACAAGTAGAATAACGTTAAAATATATCTTGATTGCAGTTTTATGTTAACGGATTGCTTGAGAGTTATTATATTATGTTTTGAATGAACAAATTATGCTTTGCAAAATGTTTTGGTGACTTATTATTTTTGTATTGAATTATAAATTTGTTTTGTTTTTTTTTACGTTTACAGAGTATTTGTATTAATTATATAGGTAAATATTGAAATATTTGGGTTTCAATAGACAAAGTTAACTTTGTTTTATAATAAGAAATTTTTTGAATATATTTTTGATTATGCTATTTCTATTGAAGGAATTTTAGCCAAAATGAAGGAAGGTGCAGAAAATGTTCATACAAAACTTCAAGCCAAAGCTGAAAGTGTAGGACTTCGGCAAAATGATATGAATAAAGGTTTGTTTTGTTTTAGTATTATGTTTAGATTAATTACGAAAATGGTTTGTAATATTTTTAAATTTCAGATAATAATGAAAATACAAATAAAAAGCAGCAAATCAGAAATCAAAATGAGGGTACAACCGTTATGGAAGTAGCTCAGTTACTTTTATCTTTGTTACACGCTTGGGGAATGGATGCTGACTTAGACAGAGTTTGTGAAACAAAACTTGGTCTTCTAAAACCAATGGTATATATAAAATAATTCATATAGCATTCCATACTATATTAGCTGTTTTTGTGCAATAGCAAAAAAGCTGTTAAATGTTCATTATGTTTAAAAAATATATTTTATTTTCAAGATACCTATATCTTTTGGAGTATTATCAAAAGGTGGATATATGTCACTATTGCTTCCCACATGGCAAAATAATTTAGAAATTGATATCAGTGGCATAGATTTATCTGGTTTGCATCCAAATATACCAAAAGAGTTGGTAAAGCAGGAAACCCTCACAAGGTTATTTACATCACGATTCCACTGGGAATTATCAACAACATTAACATCAAATCATTTATTGGCAATTATCGCCTTAAGTAACACATTGATGTCTATGAATAATGCCACTTTTGTGCCTGAACAAGAAAGGAATAGAAAACTACACAGGTTAATAAATTTTGTTGTGTATATTTTACTTACTTATTTTGCTCTTGTGTTGGATTGAATCAATTTTGTTTATTTTTAGACAATCAACCAGAGTAAATGTGACGTGGTGTAAAGCTGATGAGGAAAATGAAGAAATTTATACTCAGCAACAAGCTCAGATAAAGCAAGGCTGGTCCTTACTTGCCACTCTACATTGTGTTCTTCTACCAGATAAAGTTACAGCAGCTGGTAAGTATTTGGGGAATAAATAAGGATTTTTTTCATTACTTATAGCTGATTCTATAATTTTTTAATACTTTAATGGCTTACAAATACACTACAGATTTTTACTCAAATTTTTCTTATTTTACTTAGGGGCTAAGAATTTCAAAAGGCCACAGGTGGAGATGATGGCACGTAGGTGGCAACATCAGTGTTTGGAGGTACGAGAAGCCGCACAAGCTCTACTATTAGCTGAATTAGGCCGGTGAGCATAATACTTTGATTTTAGTTGTACTTATGACTCTTAATTATTTTTAATTGGATTTTATTACTTTAGTCTTGGTCCTAAAGGTCGTAAACAATTAGTTGATTCATGGGCACAATATCTGCCGTTATACACAAAAACTGAAAGTATTCAAAATCAAACAAATCATGGTTCTAATGGAGTGCATGTTAACACGCCAAATCCGATCTCTGTGCAAGATGGAACGGTAACATGAATAATTATAAACATTTCTATATACATAATTATAAATATTTCTGAGTACTGATACAAAGTACTTTTTGTAGGAAGAGGAATATGAAGAAGAGGAGGAGGAAGTTGTTAGAAAACCATCAAGTATTGCTGAATTAAAGCGCAAACAAACAACTGCTGTTGTTCTTTTAGGTGTTATTGGTGCAGAATTTGGACAAGACATTACTACAGAAGGTATATATTTTATTTTTTATTATATATTGTAACTCGGATTATTAACAGCACAGGTTATGGGATTTGTAAAGTTTTACATAATCAGAATTTGTGTTAATTAAAAATCAGTTATTAATTATAAATAATAAAAGTTGGAATGACGAATCTAAAAATGATCGCTAGTATATGTATGCTTTTACTTTAGTTGCTAAACATATTAATTCGTTATTTTTATTTTAAAATAGCTACTAAACAATTCTTACCTTCCAATTGGGTAAGTTAAAGTAATTGCAAAAAAATCGAAAATGAAAATGTTTATATTTCCCTTTTTTACCCAGTCTATGGGGTAATAGGGGACAGATGACGAATTTTAGAAAAACAACTAAAAACATATTTCTATAATTAAGAATTAACTGTGAATTTGTTTAATACGCGTTATGTGTTGTGATATAATTCATTCGTTTTAGACAGTATAATTACTGAATGTCAAACTGGACCTTTGTGCCCTGCCCTATCCTAATTCAAAAAACATTTTGCTGGTGTTGACGGTGTAAAGAAATGACTAGTTTTTCATGAAGATTCAGCATTTTAAAAAAATAGTCTTTTCTTTTCCATCATTTCAAAATTCTCAAGAAAATGAAAATATTAAAATTTTTGCAAAAAAAATCTCATAAGGTTTTAGAAATCTTTGTTCTATCTTGGCTCGATTAGGTTTTGTTTTTGTTTATGCATATATGTTTTCATTTCTTGTAAAGATGCACATAAATTATTTGTAAAATGTGATCCAAATTTAATAAGATAAGTGCTTATAAATTTACAGTACTGATAATGATCTATTTGAAAATATTTAATACAATTGTTATTAATTATTGATCAATTTTTATTGATTATTGTCAGTATTATTATCGGCTGGACCGATTTCAAAAATTTAAAAGCCATTCGATGTATTTAGATGAGGATTATCGTTTGTCAGTTTTGTGCGACAATCTGGCGTTTATTTGAAATTTGGAAAAAAGTGTTAAACTTATTGTCTACATAAAAAATCATTCTACCGAATCGGTTTTAAAAAATCAAAAACTGTTCGAAAGATTTTAGTTGGGAATGATACTGATTAGTTTAAGGTGAAAATCTACCGAGCCGTTTTCTTGTAATTAACTGTAGAAAAAAAATTCAAGCCGATTTTTATCTGACTTTTTTGGTGATACATATCATAGTCTTATAGAACTTACTGAAATATTACGGCCTTACGACAAGTAGTTTAATTTTAAAAATTCATCATGAGTAGTTTTTTTGACGTCTGTTAAAATTAAAATTAGACGATTTACTTGGTATAACGATAGAGTACTTGGTCTTAATGAACCTACTAAACCATTAAAGTCCTCAGGAAACTGGTTCAATTATAAAAATAGTTGATTTTTGAAAATTTACTTTTGGAAAATACTCCGAGTAAACGTGTTCGTTCGTTTTCAATTATGTGTAATAAATTTTATTGATACATTTAGGGATACATATTGATACATATTGGGAAGTTTATGTAACTTGCCCTAAGGCAAAATACCAATAACAACTAGTTTAAATTTATTATCATAAGCAATAAAGTTATTATCCTTAAACAAATATCAGTTAACTTACTTTTCAAAGTATTCAAATTATTGGCTTTTTAGCTGGTTTATCGACATTTATATGCTTGCACTAATACTACGTGATATACTTAGATATAATTTTCAATAATTATTACTAAAGTTTAAAAATTTATTGTGGTGGTTTGTTGTTGCTAAAATTAATTACTGTTGATTCTCGAGTACAGCTAATAACAAAAAGAGGATGGGAGATGATGGAAGGAGAAAAAGTTCAGTTGTGGAAGGTAATTATGTTTATTAATATTATTGTTTTTTAATCTATTAGTTGCAGAAGTTTTAATAAAAATAATAATAATAATAATGTATTTTTCTTCAATAAAAATAGATAATCATTGAGTTTATTTACAGAATGCATGATATTTCACAACATTTTTCCTTTAGTACAATAAGTGCTTTAATAAAAATATATATACTGCATGTAAATATTCTATAATTATTTTATATCATTGATATTTTGTGTTGTTAGGAAAATTTATTGAGCTAGTAATCAACATAATTTGAAATTATAGGTTTTGGAATTGGCAACAATAATCTTGCAAGACTTACGTCGATGGCTCTGACACATTTGTTGTTGGCTCCACCTTCGCCAAAACTTCCAGCTCATACACCATTACGAAGAGCAGCTATTGACCTTATAGGTAGAGGATTCACAGTTTGGGAACCATATCTAGATGTCAGCAAAGTATTATTAGGTATGTATATTATACAGCGGAAGCCCGACATACGTGTTTAATTCGATCCGTAACGAGGATTGTTTGTTGAATCGACCGTATCCTAAAGCAATTTTTAACTTTCCGTAGGGTAAGTTATAGTAATCGCAAATAAAATGAAAATGAAAATTTTTATTTATCTTTACGTTTTAGAGGTTTCTGAACATTTTGGCATACCTTAAGAAAAATGGATGTATGTGTGTGTGTGTGCGGATACAAATTTTCGTCGACGATTTCGGGAACACCGATCAACCGATTTGAATAATTCAAAAATCATTCGATTCGTATTGATAAGGAGACATTTCAAAATAAAAAAAAAACATTTTTTTTCAAACAGTCTTTTTTTTCAAAAATTACATTTTTTCATAAATTTAAAATTTCTCAAAAATATAATTTTTTTTTTTTAAAACATTAATTTTTGGTACGGGAAGTTACAGCAATTTGCCTTAAGGCACGATGCCACGCACGACTAGTTTTATTACTTTATAAAAATATATATAGACAATATATAATTCATTTCGACGTTTTTAGGCTTATTGGAAATGTGCTGTGATGCTGATAAATTTGTTCCGAGTATGACATATGGATTACCATTACATCCTCAAGCTGATTCATGTAGAACTGCGAGACATGCATTAACTTTAATTGCTACAGCAAGGTATGATACAAGATAACATATTAAGGTTCATATATGATAAACCATATAGTTATATTATTTTCATATATGTATATATATAAATATAATATTAGTTTATATAAAATTATAAATCTATTTTCTCATAATCTGAACGAAATATTTTCTGATCGAGATTTATTTCAGACCTGCTGCTTTTATAACAACAATGGCTAGAGAAGTTGCACGTTATAATACATTACAACAAAATCCACAAACAATAAATGTTAATTTGAACAATTCAGTATTACATAGAGCTAAGCCTGAAATTCTTCGAGGAGTTGAACTGCTCATAGATAAAATGCAAAGTGAAATGAGTGACTTACTTGTCGAGGTATTATAAATTGAATCATAAAAATTTGGCTGTTTTAATATTTGTGTATGAGAATAAAAGTTTGATTATTTGTTCTTTTCTTAGAAGCACCGATTCCAATAATTTAAAAACCATTTGATACAACTCCAAAATGACTTTTTTTGTAGAGTCGTCTCTTGAAACTTTAAAATTTTGAATGGTAATCTTGGTTTTCAGAATAAACAGTTCAAAATTTCATTGTCACTACATATACATATTCAAAAGATTATGCAAAATGCACCTACATCCAATTAAATATATTTTTTTTTACATAGGTTATGGATATTATATTACATTGTGTAGAACCTGGACATTTGAAGACAAAAGGTCTTAGTGATGTATTTCCTGCTGCTTGTCGATTCAATCAAGTATCACATTGCCCAGCAACAAGGCGAATTGCAGGTAATTCACACTAATAAGTATAATATAATTAAATAAATTTAATTTGTCTTAATATATGCATACTGAATTAAAATTTTGGGTACTAGTTGGTGCCAGCAATGGAAATCTTGCAATATATGAGTTGAGGCAAAGCAAATGTCAGATGATACAAGCTCACTCTTCGGCTATCATAGCAGCAGCATTCAGTCCGGATGGCAAATATTTAGTCAGTTATTCCTGTGGAGAAAATCGTTTGTCATTCTGGCAAACCAGTACAGGTATAATAAAATTTATTTTAAAAATATTCAAGAATTATTACATACAGTATATATTTTTATCCAAAGCACTAGTGAACAATATTTTTTCTTGAATCTTATGTTGTTTATTCTTTTTTAAATAAACTTTTTTTTATCATTTAAATTTCTTTGCTTCTCACATCAATTAAAATTGTATAATTAAATATAGAAAAGTTTAAGTATTTTGTTATTTATTTTAGTATTTTGATAATTTGCATTGTATGGATTTAAAATATTTTACTTTTTTTCAAATAACTCTTAATTTTCATTTTGCACATTATAATTTGTTCACATAAGTAAAAACTAGATAAAATTTCCTAAAATCCACTAAAAACTGTTGTATATAGATTTGTAACATGTTTTTCTTTTTTTCAGAATGCTTTAAATTTTTATTTCAAATATTATAATTAACTTTCCGAAGTAGAAAGTTTATCTTTTCATCAAAAAATCCGATATGTGATAAAACCACTCGAAATACTTTTAATTGCTCATAAATTAATTTATATTTTATTGATTAAGTCGATTATTTACACATATCTGGAAGTTCATGTAACTTGCCTCAAGGCAAAATACCAATAGCAACTAGTTTGTTTGTATTGGCTACTCGCTCATAAATACATTAATAGTTGTACATAAATGTTTAAATAATAGTCTATTTGTGATTTTCCTTCATCCAGGTATGTTTGGTCTGGGTGCTTCTCAAACACGTTGCACCAAGAGTTATTCAACTGCTCCCATACCCGATGTATCCCGCTTGAATCCAATGAAATTGGCTAGATTGATTTGGATAAATAACCGTACAGTCACCCTTATGCTGGCAGATGGTTCTGAGACAAGATTTAACGTTTGATTCTATTTGCTGACATGGCTGCTTTGGCCTAATTTGGTTTTGATTGACATTTTATATCGCGCACATGAAAGTAAGTTCAGTTTCATACTTTCCTCATATGAATTATATGGTACTACTGCTATGGAACTAAAACCATTGAACTATAATCTAAAGTTAGAAAGATCTTGTAATGTGAATTTCTTTTAAGGTAATATTTCTATTTATAATATAATTATAATGTTATGTTTTGTACATAAATGTACATACTATGAAAGATATGCTGATAGGTTTTATATAATATGTATATTATTGTTGATTTTACTTTATATAATATAATTTTATCCATTATAGTTCAAAACACTGATATTTAGTGGCCATACATAGATTTTTTTAAAAAAACTATTTAGGTGTTTCAGTAAAACTTTTTTAGAAATTTTAAACTAATTGTTATAAATTATAGCCAAAAATGTATTGTTTGAATATGTATGTTTGAAACATATTTAAAATTAGTTAAATATCTTATTCTTATTAGTGAAATTTTATAAGTTAAAGCATTTAGTCATGGTCTTTACTATTACACTGCAATCATATTGTGATAATACATAACTTCATATATACTTTTTTCTTAATACTTTGTGATTATATGTATATCTTTCCTCTTTAGATACTTAAGGTGTTCGAATTCACTATTTTATCTAATTCAAAGGTTTTCTCATGTACTTTAAGTAATTTAAAGTTTTCTCTTTGTGTAGCAGTTGTATGTGTAGTAATCTCTTATATGTGTTTTGTTCACTGAAACTATTTTCTAATCTAATAATTTTATTTTCATATTCCCTAATTCTATCATGTTATCAATGTTAAAGTAATATAACACCTCATGTTTACAAGGGAATAACTTATGTAGGGGGTTACTGCAAATACTTTACTGTATTTTTAGAGTTCAAAAGCAATCTATAAAAATAATCTCCTATTTCATATAGGTGCCCAAAGATGTTATAGTATTCTGTCATACTAATTATATTAGACACTATGATATTTTAGCTGTAATGTGTTATTTTAGATTTAAGAAAAATAACATCATTTCTTTTTATGCCAAATATATTAATCCAAATTTTTTCTGAGAATGCAAATTATATGTTTCGTTTATTAAATTCAATTGTGTATGTACAATAATTGGAACGTGTATACAATCATAGATGAATGTATTAATTTTTAATCACTACCACAATTAAATTGTGCGTATTGAGTATATGGATTTAAAATGAAATTAATATGGTACATTTCGCGCCAAATCGCTGATGTGGAGCCTTTATATATTTTATTTCTCTGTATTCTGCATATAATTTAAATTTCATAACTTTATTTCACATATTTTACTTGAATTGGGATACTACGAAACAAAATGCACATAATTGGGCTCTCATTTCTGTAGTTTGGAGTGGAATTTGTCATATGAAAATATTTCAATATATAGAAAAGCCTTGAATATATAAATTTAAATAAATACTAATACATAAAAGGTAATTGTAATAAATATACTGTCATTGCTACATATATAATGAAAATGATTAACAAATAGATATCTTATAATTAAATGATGCAGTCTCTGGTATAAATCATGTTGAGAAAAACAACATGCTTATGTACATATATAAACTATAGTAGCTCATATATTTCTATTTATTTATTTATTATTAAACAAAGTCAATTTTTCGTTCTTCTAATGATAACTTGTTGTCTCTTATATTTCTTGTTACCAGTATAAAAAAAACATCTCGATACATTGTTAGATTTTAAATATTCTCAATACAAACAGCATAATTGTTAATAACTATAAATTTATGTCATACAGTTATAATATAATATCAAAGATCTTTTGATTTATGAATGTATAAATATATGATAAATAAATCATTATTGCAATGTTTATAATGATTTTATTGTAGATTTATTAAATATTTTCAGATGTTGTGATTTGTTCAGGTGTTGAGATTTGAATCTAGACTGCCATAACCTGATGCTATGGATTTATTGAAATTTGCTGTTTCAATTTATGTAAGTTTATTTAATAATATATGATTTAATGATATATGAATCTTATATATATTATATTTTTTATAATTGTTAATATTTAATAATATATAATAGTCATTTAATTATGCATGCTTAACCAAGAAATAGTGATAACAATATATATATATATATATATATATATATATTTAATTCGGATTATTGCAATCTAAAAAAAAGTTTTTTTTTCTAGGTTTCATCATATCCTATATAGCAGATTTGGTGCTGCCAAAATTGCTGATTCGACCTTACTAGGCGTAAGTAAATTAGTTTACATTATTTATATATTTATTTATTTAACGCCCATGGCTATTTTAATGATTTATGTGATTAATTTATGTAATTACGTAAGATCCCATGAGTTATCTGTATTTCCTATGACCATATCGCGAATCAAGACCATACAAGATTTTTATCATATATATTTATTTCATGGCCTTATTTGTGATATCAAATTGAGAGATTTTATGTAATTATTATTGCAGTAAATATAGGCGCACTATCCGTTGATTTAGAATTGAATTTCTCTTCTCTGCACCGTTTTATTTCGTTATTTTAGATGGCTTTTTCATTTAATTGCGGTTACATTTTTTTATTGCAATGTATTTAATTCTTTAACACAATATATACAGAAATATTTATTAATAATTCAGTTACTGACTTTGCTAGAAAATTGCCCACCAATTTGCAGCGATCTCCGAAAGGAATTTTACGGTACTGTAGCGAAAATTTTGCACATATGTTATTAACTTCCTTGGGGTAAGTTATTGTAATCGTCCAAAAATCGAAATTGAAAATTTTTGCATATCTTCACGTTTTGAAGGTTTCTGAACATTTTGGCATATTTTAGAAAAAATGGATGTGTGTGTATGACCCGATTTGAATAGTTAAAAAAACATTCGATTCCTATTGATAGGGAGATGTGCTGATTAGTTTTTGGCAAAAGCAGGTCCAGCCGTTTTGGAGCTATAGAGCAAAGAGTGCAGAAAATCGAAATCGAGTTTTTGAGAAAACGGAGCATCCGATTCAACTGATCCAAAAAAACATTCAATTTGTTATGATGGGGAAAAGTGGTGATTAGATTTTGGCAAAGACACGTCAAGATGTTTTGGAGATACGGTGCAAAAAATGTCAGTTTTTGAGAGAAGTAAGTAATCCGATTTGAATGATTCAAAAAACTTTCTGCTTGTGTTGACGAAACGAAAATATTTCAATTTTTTTCTGAATATCGAAAATAATTCAGATTTTCAAAATTTTAGTTCGGTACGGAAAGATGCCATACACCAATATTTATATATTTTTATTCATTTTTCTCGCTTTTTTGTTTTGATTTTTTAATATCTACACATTTAATTAGATAGATGTAATAAATAAGAAAAACTATTCTAACTACAGTCATCAATTTTCTACAGTCACAAATTATCGACAATTTTAGTGCTGAGAGCTAGTGCCAATTAATGCATTTTAAGCTTGCTATCCAACATGCATTTTTTTTTGTAAAAAAGCGATTAAAACTTCATGTTCACTGAGCGTGTTTATGCTATCGTACACCCTAATCTAGTATTTTTCTTGAGAGGACAACCCAGCGGTCAACCACTTTTTTTTTGTTTTATGTGTAGACTATATATATATATATATATATATATATATATATATAAGATATGTATATCTAACAGTGCTGGCGTTTATGTGTTGCAGCAATGCCCACGAAAGGCAATTTTTACTTGACATTATATTTGAGATATTTAACTTCAAGTGGCAATGGCAAGCAAAGGCAATTTTCTCTTAAGATTATATTTGAGATCTTTAACCTCAAGTAGAAATGTTATATCATACTGCTCGATATCGAGCTCGCCGAGATTCAAATAGAATCCGGCATTAGTTTTTGCTAACCCACGTTTTTAACCATTTTGTCACTATGGGATCTTCTACACATACTTGATCACATTATAATTGATATACATTCGGTCATTTCGATATCAAGCAGTATGATATCAAAGTTTAGTTTGTAGTTATAGGTTTCAAATATAATCTCAAGTGATGTTTACACTATATATCGAAACGTATGGAAAAATATAGAAGATTTTATTTTTATTATAATTATTTTATTATTATTACTTATACAGTATTTGTAATAGTATTTTTCACTAATAGTTTAAGTAATATTTTTATTTTCAATTAGCGCTATCTGAATTAAAAAGTCATCTATTATAATTAAATGTTTGCGCGATTTCTGTCACAGTAAGAGCGACAGTCATTCGAAAAGAAATCGCCAATTTGTATGAGTCGTTTGTTTTGTGAGTCACGCATTTAGAAGCTTTGAATAATTCATGTCATTTGACAAAATGCACACTTCTTCCAACGACCGCTATTGTGGCTTTGATAATTCAGAACCAGGAAATAATTCTGTCACGCCTGCAATCGGCCAATGTTTTTTTTTGCCGATTTTATTGCTTCGTTAAGTGATGAATTGCTATTTACAATGGAAACCCACGTTTTGGTTGCTTCCGAAAATTTAAACCGTGAATAGAAATAGTCAGTCTTGTCAGCGAAAAAGAAAACTACATCTAGTAAAGTGACGATTGTTTAAATATATATTTTTACAGCACTTAATAAGTCCTCTGAGCTGTTGTGCTAAATTTTCAAACTACGTGGCTTTTTATTCATGGCAACCCAAACGGTTGTCCTATCTCTATGATGAATTAAGTATTACAATTTCTGTTAATACTGATGGTTTATTTATTGTGCAGCAATGTCTGGCTATTTTTACTTGGAAACATTTTACTATCTATATTTTTGAGTAAAAGTCAATGTCACTACTACCACTGCTTGACATCAGGCTGTCCGAAGCGGGTATCTAACTTCTGTTTGAAATTCCACAGCTTAACCAATTATTCACTTATTTTTAAACAAATCTATTATTAATAATATTTTTGAATTAAGTTAATAAATATATTTGAAATAAAATTTAGTTACATGTTTAGTTACAACCAGAACTTGATAAGTCCTATGAGCTGTTGTGCTAAATCCTTGAACTAAGTGGCTTTTTATAATCATCATTTTTTTAATAATTATCAGCTTAACCAATTATTCACTTATTTTTAAACAAATCTATTAAATAATAATATTTTTGAATTAAGTTAATAAATATATTTCAAATAAAATTTAGTTATATGTTTAGTTGCAACCAGAACTTAATGAGTCTTATGAGCTGTTGTGCTAAATCCTTGAACTAAGTGGCTTTTTATAATTATCATTTTTTTAATAATTATCATTTCAAATAAAATTTAGTTATATATTATAGCATGTTAAAAAGATTAGATATATTTATTATTAAGTAAATATTTAAAATCCAATCTTTACTTTTTTATATATATATATATTATATACGGTATCCTCATCCTAATCCAACAAGGTTTGTTTTTTATTTTTTTTTTATCAAAATATATTTAAAATTTTATCAATATATATTTAAAAAGTTTGTCTCGGATAGCCTGATATCAAACAGTAGTGATATTGGCTTTCACTTGAAAATATAGATTTTGAGTTAAAATAGCCCTTACCTGGCATTACTACAATAAATAAAATATCACTAGTATTCGAGAAATTCTAATGATAAAATATATCAAATAGAGATGGGCTAACCGTTGGGTTGCCCTCTAAGAAGTGACGGTGTTAATGAGAATATTTATCACAACAGCCCGTAAAACTGTTCTGATTGCTAATATTCAAATATGTATATAATAAAAAAATATTTCAACTAATATTTTACATATTGTAGTAAATTTTTACTTAAAATATTTATTTTAACGTATTATTATAAAAAAGTTTTCGTTTATCTCATCTCTACTCATTTTTATCAGGTAGTCATGTTAGGTTTCCATTCTAACCTATCAGTGAAATCTCCAACAAACATTGGAGATGATAATATTTTCTTTACTGTTTATCTGCAGAAAAATTCTGAATATAAAAAAATATTGATAAGATCCACAAACAACTAGTTTTTTTCGAAATATATTTCAAATCAATATCTTTATACAGAATATATTACCCATGTTGATTGCGAGTTGCGGTTTACTGATATAATTCGTCTCAGATATACATACTTATTTATTACTAAAAATCTCAGCACATTGTGCGGTAAACATAACCAATGTACAGGTAATTTGATCGTATCTGATTGCGAATAAATATAGAACTTGGTTTTTTAATGATTAAAAAAAGAAACAAAGCTTATACCTGTTGATATCTATACGGGAATGATAAAATATATCTGTATTTGGTTTAATAAAAGCTTGGTGCATACGGCAATAAATTTTGATCATTACCAATTAATATAATACTTATTTATTCAGATACTAAAAGTTTTATTATAAAATAACGTGCTTGAACAGGATTAAAATATCATTGTCTTAATTTACGATCGATAATGAACAATAATGTGAACAAATATTTTTGAAATATTTTAATCAATACTTTTTAAATTTTACTGTTGGGTCTAAAAATTATTTTCCAATTAGTATTCTAGATTCTAGATAAATCAATATTTTTTTTAATGGTCCACGGAACACTTGGAAGTGCGATACGCGCATTCTGCGAAGATGTGATTTGTTTAGTAGTTCCGTGTTTCGCAAATTTCCGATCTGTTTGTAATGTGAAATTTCGTTAAATTTGAAAGTGATTACTGATTGAAATATGAATCATCAGTTATTTCCTGAAAATATTCTGTATTACTTTAATCAATTTTACGAGTAAAATTTACACACTTACAAATTTACAGCTCAGGGGTCTGAAATATAAATAGTAGTCCAAAACTTGTAAATTTTATACAAAACAAAAATAGGACTTTCTTAAAATTATTTAGGTTAATTTAATAAATTTGTTCATGAGAATATTATTTTCAAAAGAAAAAAAAAGAATATGAAAACTTAAGTCTTATGTATGACTCAAGTCAATCTTGATGACTGAAGATTATAATTAAAATTTGAATCCTCTATGGGCCGAATTTTTGTTTTACATCCAAAAACATTAGAGAACAAAAACAAAAAATGAAAAACAAAAAATTACGTTGAATTAATTTTTTGGTAATGAATCACGTGATCAAGTCACATCGGCTTATAATGTTCGCACTTCTGTGTATGAAAATGTTATTTCAGATTGAAAAGCCTAGAAAAGGTCATAAATATTGGTATTAGTTATCTTGACAATGTTATAGAATTCAGATTTATATGTCATCTCACGAAAAAACATAATTATTTAACAAAATATCGAAACATCTGGAATGACTTGGAAAACATTGGATTCCTATTGATAAGTGCTGATTAGTTTTTGGCAAAAGCAGGTCCAGCCGGTAATAAAGTTTTTGATAAAACGAAGCGTCCAATTTGAATGATTCAAAAAACATTTTATTTGTATTGACGAATTGTTTAAATTTTTGGAAAGGCAGGCCTAGCTGTTTCGGAAATCCAATAAAAAATGTTAAAAAAATGCTAATTGGGGATCAAAAATGATCATTAGACATATGCACATCAAATTATCAGATATTTTATAGAGATTTTAATAATAAGTGTATATTTTGTTGACATTTATATGGGTTCCGTACCAATGTTTATTCGTTAGACTGCAACGAATAGACGCGTAAACGTTTCGATATTATATCAAAATACCGAAATTAAAAATTTTAAAATATAAAAAACAATCAAATTTTTTAAGTCTTTTTTTTTCAAAATTCTTGAAAATCTAATTTTTTGAAAGTTTTCAAAAAGATTTAAATCTTTTTCAAAAATTTTAATTTTTAGTACAGAAAGTTCCAGCAATTTGCCTTAAGACACGAAGCCATGCACCACTAGTTCTTTTGATTTTTCGTTTATTGGTGTAAATCTCGGCCGATAGACTTCGAATCTCTTCTCCTCGAGTGTTGAGCGGCCGACGGACAGCGCGCTTGTTCTTGCTGCCGAAGACTTTTTACTTTCGGCCGGTCGTCGCTTCGCACGGACGACGGCGCTGGCTCTCGTTCCCCCGCTAGTTCTACTACGTTCGATGGCTTCTCAACATTTAATTAAAGCCGAAAATATAAAGTAATAAACTTTGTATAATTTTTACCAGCAATTTAAGATTTATATAAATCTCAAAACTATGATAAATCTAATTTGGTAAATAAATATTTGATGTTATACATTTTTATTTTATACGGTATAATAATTTTACTTGATTAATAAATTATCTGACACAACATGAAAAAATAATGGTTGTAAATTAAAGCTTTATTAATAATTTTTTCTACATTTTTGTATAGGGTAGAGCGGGGCTTAAAGGTCCGCGTGTAAAGAAATCCACCACCGATATCTCAAAAATAAATAAAGTTAAGAATTTTTTAACAACAATATTTGAAAGTAGAGGGGAAAAGATGTATAACCAGCCGGCACCTTCATTCTTACGACGTTGCTATCGGAAGATAAACGACAATGTTTAGAAATCTATAACACAAGTACTATTTTTTTAGTTGTTAGTTTTTATGTTTGTGAGCACTGTTGTTTAGTTTATAAGACCTTAATATAATTTTTATGTATATGTTATTAAATTTATAAGATGTCTCGTTAATTTTAGGTTAGATTCAACAGTTTTTGTATATAACTTCTTCAAAAGCTTACACCTGGGTGGAGTAAAAAGGACCAACTGAACCTTTACTCTGGCAATGGAGTGAATAATAAAAATAGCAAATAAAAAGGTAAATTCAGTTAAAACAAGTAATTTTACATGAGATAAATCGAATATATAGTTGACGAAAATACCAGATCAAGATTACTTACAGTGTTATTTCTGTAAAAAATGTACCCATGAAATTTATATTTTGCATTTATTGAATAATGTAGCTATTATTTCGTAAAAACCTTTTAAAATTAATATAATAAATTTGACTAGTTTGCCTTCTGGCAGTCCCATTTTAACCCGTCTATCGGGTAAAAAATAACACATTGCAAATTTGTGAAAAACAACAAAAAATACATTTTTACAATGATGAATTAACTGAGAGTTTTACGGAATATAGTCAGCAGTTGTTTGTTTGATATATGCTATATTTTGGATTATAATTGGTTTGGTTTTCACAATATAGCTCAAAGTCAAATAGATCTTTGTGCCCCGCCCAATCCCATATGATTTTTTTTTGCTTAGAATGATTTTTTTCATAAAATTACTTACGCATGCAGATAGAAATAAATACGACAAAATATTTTCATTTAAATTGTAGATAGCAGCGTAATGGTCTTATAATTATTTTTACTAAGAATTGTAGATAGAAAGAAGATTTCTACACTAATAATTATCTTATTATCACGCCACGTGTCATCGTTTATATTAGGTAAAGGCTAATGAGTTGTAGATTGTTATCGCATACCCCGTGCATTGCGCACGGAGCGGGGTTGTTCACCTCCCTACGACGCGTGTCGTACAGTTTGGGAAGCGCTGCTGGAAAGTCGACGACTGCGGGGATGGACGCTATCTCTTCGGTGTTCGCGCTGATGCGCGACTTGACCTGGGAACTTTGTCGTGCATTCACTACCTTACCTTAGTGTATATCTGGCCGTCGAAGCACGCGGTCAAGGCTGCCCGATCTGTCTGTATGTGTTGATACGTGTTCCTTTTGGCCGCGACCGAACCAGGAGCCGTACTGACCGTCCTCTAACGACCGCGAGGTGTCTTCGGCCGGCGTTTTGTGTAAGAGTCGGCGCCGCGACAAACCAAAGAGCGGATATGTTAATCGTCTTCGAGGCATCGACAGGAGAACTTTTGACAGGACATCGCTGCTCTTACGTCAGGTCCTCCTCGATAGGTTGATCTCGACGGTTCTCTCGGCCTGCAACGATGTTATCGGGATTTGCGAACCTCGTGTAGTACATTTGTTTGCTACCTTTATCATCGTGTTTCCCTCGTATCTCGAAAAGGCATGAGCCAGCCGCAAATGAGACAACAGTCATCGACCGTCTTCTTGAGGAGAGTTACGCACATGTACGCCTCGTTTTATGTATGCCGCGTGTTAATGTGATGTCAATGCGATTCCAGTTGTGTTTTGGTTGTGGGTTATGTTTACAAACGGTGTGATCGGTGTTATTGACTCAATAGGATTTATCGATACCTGCAACGGTATATGTATGAAGATTGCGAAATTTGCGATGTAAATAGTTGATATTCGTTTTACATAATTTATTTATTTATTTATTTATATAATATTTATTATAAATTTATTTATTCATTTATAACGAAACGTGGAGTGATTTAAAATAGTGATAAAAACATAATAATGAGTTATAGCGATTTTAATCAAAGTTACAGATTTTAGTTTCCCAACCATTCCATTAGTATAATTAAGTGTTTAATTTAAAAATAAGTAGTGAAAAATAAAAAATGGTAAGTTTTATTCATTTTAAATTTTTTTTTAAATTTTTATTAAATAATTATTAATAGTAATTATAAATTTTTATATATTTATATTAATTGTAGTATGAAATGTATATTTTGTGCTAGAATGAGCTAATTGCGATTATTAGGGTGATTAGGGGAATTCATGATATGGATAGTATCGAAGTTCCTTGCCCCCAGGGGCACAAATGCTTCCAAATTGATAAAAAAAATCTCTGAAAGTTTTAGCTCTTAATAATAACTTTAAAATAGTCTGCACTCCAAGCAAAGTTCCTTAGTTCTTCTTCCTAAGTAAGTGTAACACTCCTTTTATAAAATATATCAAATTTTGGTTGTAATTTTTTTATTTATGATCAAAATGACAAAATACAATGTTATTCTCAAAATTTTGATTCATTTGTCGCAGAGTTATGAAATTCTAAAAAACAAATGGAATTTTTCTCATGTTATTTTCATAAGAAACTTTGGTTGAAGTGCGGACTATCTTAAAGTTAATATATTTTTTTTTACTATTTTTCTAATTACAATCTGTCTTTACAAAAAGGAAGACATTTAGTAATTTCGATGATATATGAAATATTAAACCTTAGATCTAAAAGGTTACCCAGTAGTAAGCCTTTTCAATTTTGATATATTGAATTTAAATATTGTCATTATATAGAGTAAACTTAAAAATAAAATGATCTATGAGGTAAAAGTTAATATTAAGAGATAAAACTTTCAGAGATTATTTTATCGATTTTAAAGCATTTGATCTCATGGGAGCAAAAAATTCGAAAATATCCATATCAAAGATAATCATAATAAATATATCGACGTTGATATGAGACATGTTATTACAGTCAATATCTTAATTAGCATGTCTTTTGTTTTTGGAAACAAAAAATATTCTATATTTTGTTTTTTAAAAATGAACAATACTCTATAAGTTTTGACAATATATCAATTTTACAATATTTTTTAAAATTATTATGACATTCATTAAGTGTCGAAACTAGTACAACTAAAATATATTTAACTTGAGTACTTTTTTATTCAACGTATTGACTGTTATAACATGTCTTATATATATATATATATATATATATATATATATTTAAATGATCTTCATAAAAGTAGTTCTTACAATTATAATTTATAATGATACCGCTATGCTACTACTGTACTAGTTTTCACATGGTAGAACTATTTAATGCAATCACTACCATTAGTCTTCTTCATTTTGAGATTACAAATTTATATCTTCCAAATTAATTATAACAAACATTAAGAGTTTTTATTTTTCTGATATATCTATCTTACAGGATTCAATTTTTTATTATATTTTGTAATCCGTTTATACCTTGCCAATTATTTTAATAATTCAATCAAGTTAGTTCTAATCCATGATTTATGACCAGAATATATGAATTCATCAAAATTAACATATCCTATTATATATTCATGTCAATAAACCTCGAAATGTATATCGTGAAATTAAAATTTGTACTGTTATGCTCGTATAATTAATTAAAATACCAAAATCAGCAATTTGAAATAAAATACTAATATTTTTTACTAAAGTACCATTAAGCTTTAGAACATCAATGCAATGCATACGTAAAAATGCCATACCTGTGTAAAACATGTACAGCTATAAAAATTTTAAACAGCAAATACTAATTAACAGTAAAGTCAACGGTATTATTCCTTGCAAGTTGCTCATACAATTTTATGAAGCACTGATGTTTATAGATTCAATGTGTATATACATCTTGGTACTTATACTTGCATATGTATTAAATTATTTATAATGTATTTTAAGAAACATTTTAAATGCTGGTAAAATTATGTCTACTTTTTTTATATAAAAAGATTAAATTTCTGTTCCATGAAGCTTTTTTCCCCCTTATTTTCGAACAGCAATCCTAGAGTCCTAAAAGCTACAGATGGTCAATACAATAATGTCTAGTTTTTTCATATAAAAAGATGAAATTTGATATTTTGCACGCTAACAGCAAATACGTCTTATCTATATCATGAATTCCTTTTTTCTTTTATTTTTGAACAGCAATCAGAACTTAAAAGTTCTGTAAGCTGTTGGGATGATTTGACTTAATACTGGTCAGTTTTACAGATGGCATCCCAAACAGTTGTCCCATCTCTGTAATTAGATTTGCTCTTGTAATTAATTTTATTATTACAATTTCTGTAATTAGACAAATATTTTATTGATACAGCAATGTCGGATGAGAGCCATTTTCAGTTGAAATATTGCTATCTATATTTCCAAGTGGAAACCGTTGTTGCTTGACAATAGGCTGCTCGAACCTGGGATCTCTGATTTAGGTTTAGTAGCTTTAACCACTTACCTACGAGACCATATTAAATATTGGTATAGTTACTGTCATCTTAAATATGATTCCAAGTGAAAATATCAATTTCCAGGCATTGCTTCATCAAATTGAATAATATGACAGCCCTATTAGATAAATTCCTATGATAAGGTAATCAAATATGGATGGATCAACTGTTGGGTTACCATCTAAAAATGCGACGCAATGTTCAGTCCAACAGATTATAAAACATAAGGTTCTGATTGCTGTTAAAACATAATTTAAAAATTTTGGTATAGTTATAGTGATCTTAAATATGTGTCCAATTGAATATAGGCATTGGTTATTAAATTGAATAATAAGACACCCTATTAGATAAATTCTAAAAATTAAATTGATCAAATATGGATGGATCAACTGTTGGGCTACCATCTAAAAATTCGACCTGAAGAAAAGTTTCAGCCCAATAGCTAATAGGACATATTGCTGGCAAAATATTTTTTTGTTTTTTTGTAATTGTTTGAACAGCAATCAGAGCTTATATGTTCTATAAGCTGTTGGTTAAGACTTATGACTACTTATTTCATGAGAGGCAATCCATCGATTTACCATTCTCTTATGTGTGGGATATTTTTGAAATTAGCTCTTACGTCTAATAGTTAACATGTGATTGGATGTTGCAGCTATGTCCACGAAGGACGATTTCCACTTGGAATTATATTGTGATCTATAAACCCAAGTGGAAATTTGACATCAAAGCTGGCTGGCAAAATATGATAATAAAAAATGTTGGTATAGTTATAGTGATCTTAAATATGTTTCCAATTGAAAATAGCCCTTTCCGGGCATTGCTGCATCAAATTGAATAATAATAGTCAGTCCTATACGATACATTCTAAAAATAAAAGTGGATCAAATATGAATGGATTAACTGTTGGGTTACCATCTCAAAAACGAAATAAAGAGAAAATTTATCCAACAGCTAATAGGACGTAAGGTTCTAGTTCTGACAAATTTTGAAAGAAAAAAAATAGTTTTTTTTTATATTATTTAGCCTTGCTTACTCTGAGCATTTTTATTTATTTATATTCTAATTAAAAAAAAGTTGGTAAAGTTATTTCATATAAAAAATATTAAACTTTATATTTTTACCAGCAAGTTGGTATGTTTATCTATATTACAAATTCAAAAATATTTAAATCAATTTCTAAATATTACATTCGATATATATTTTTTCACCTGCTGTTATGATTTTTCTCCTTGGCATGCCATGATCAGTCGTGCATAATATTATGAATGGAAATTGCATCGTACAACAGCGAACCGAGAAGCCGATGAGAAAATCATGTAGAAAATTATAATAGAGTTAATTACATTGCAAGACCGACTGATGTAAGTGCACGCGGGACTAATTGGACATTTTTAACATTTCAGATGTACAGGAGGCGAGGTTCAAACCTCGACGTGTATATTGCGGCTCTAGTGTTTTGTTGGCAGCATTTACTAACGTCATCGTCACCTTTATACCCTTATCATGGATCCTTGTCAGGTAAATTTGAATTGGAATTTTAGACTTGTATTTTTTAATTAACTCTTGAACGTGGTGCCGGGCAAATAATCTTAGAGTGTGTGTTCATGATCGAATTGATACAACTTGAAAACCGTCAGTGAGCTTTTGGATTCGGTATGGTTTAGTGGAAATTTGAGAATATTAGACCACAATCCAGTTGGTGAGATTTTTTTAATTGCCACGATATCAGAAAAATTTCCCTATGGTAACTTTATAAGAAATTTAGTTGAAAATGTATCAAAGAAAAAATGTTTCTTGCCAAAATTCCTGGAAAAACACTATTTTTATCTCACACATATTACATATATGTCTGGTTTGGCCTTATTCTAAAACTGTTTTCTAGATTTTCTGTAACCTCCTACCAGACACATATGACTGACATGGCGATTAACGTGTTTACAATTATGCCACGTGAAATGATAATCTTTGAGAAACTTAGATGATCAGTTATAACTTTGTTATAAATCCACTACCTTACCAACTAATAAAAATAGAGTATTGGAACGTTAACTTGACAAAAATCGTTTTCAAATTTTGAAGAATGAAACACTAGTCTTCTTCCATAAAGTGAACTCTAAATTATTATAAACTTCCCGTAGGGTCAGTTATAGTAATCGCAAAAAAAATCGAAAATAAAAATTTGTATACATCTTCTCATTTCAAAGGTTTCTGAACTGGTGTGTGTGCGTGTGCGTTTATGTGTATGTATGTATGTGCGTGCGGATACAATTTTTCGTCAACGATTTTGAGAATGATTCAGAATATATTCGATTCCTATTGATAAGGAGACGTGCTGATTAGTTTTTGGCAAAGGCAGGTCCAGCAGTTTCGATAATACGGGGCAAAAAGTGTCAAAAATTGTATTTAAATTTTTGAGAGAACGGAGCGTCCGATTTTAATGATTCAAAATTCCATGCACCACTAGTTTTTTTTGTATTCTAACTTTTTTTCTCTCTTTCATGTAACAATTTCTTATAAGATTTAAATGTATCTTGATTGATATTTTTAAGAAAATAAGAAGCTTACTGTGCTTTGGCAAGGTACAAAATAAATAAACTTTATTATAAAACTTTAAAAATTTGTTTGATTATATAGTTTTGTTTGAATTATATAGTTTTGTCACAAATTAAAGGAAAAATCATAAAAGTAAAAGGAATATTTGACCATCATAAATTTGTATCTGTTGCTTTTTACAAATTTCTTACAAATAATTCAAATTAAATATACACTTTTTTGCCATTTCCAGCGAACTGTTTTATTGAATTATTCATAGTCAATGACGATTTTCTAAAGTTCGGTTTTTGTGGAAAATTTGGGATTTTTTTTTTAATTGTTGGAGGGTCTCAATATGTAGCAGATAGTTTTGCTGATTTTTAGGCTTTTTGTATGCATGAGAACTTTATAATTCAGATTGATTTGCAATATTTGATCCAAAACTATTAGGTGTAGTTATTCATATAGAGACCTGGTTGCTATAATTTCAAAGTATGTACAGTATCCAACAACCGTACTGCTAATACAAAAGGTAATTAATATTCTGTCATGTTATTAGCATTTTTTATCAAACAACAAATACTAAAATTAATTAATATTGCTCACGAGAAAAAAATATGTAATTATCTAACTATAAAAAGTAGTGCTCGCTACTAAAACAATATCATACCAATGAGTTCCAAATCAGGAAGAATTGCGGTTAATCTCAAAAACGCTAAGCAGAGCAAGTGGCCGATCTACTTCCAAAAAAACTCTACGACCCAGTTTAAAAAATAAAAGAAAAAGACGAATCGATTATGAATTCACGATCTTGGCAACTGTTGTGCATTGTCATCCGTCATATACATACTCGTATGAGGAATGACTATTGTCACACATTTTACATTGTGTTGGAAATCGCAATACACACCGGATAACGGCCTCGATTTTCTAAATATGTGTGTCATCGTGTTCTTTGACAGAATTCTGTTCATGACATTATAGAAACACATAATTTGCTTCGCTTTTTTAATTACCGAAAAACATCCGAACAACGGATTACGTAAATATTTGAGAGCTTTTTGTCCCTGCTCTTTGAGATGTAGTTTTTCGAGACACGGTTCTCTTAAATCTTTCACTATTTTTTGGGTTTTTTGTAATAGGATGCTTCAACTTATAAAATTTTATATTTAGAGTAGGGTTGGGCACAAAGGACCAATTTGACTTTAAGTATTTATACTGTCTAAAATTTAGACGTCACAAAACATAACATATATCAAACAAGCAACTATCGAACTATGTTCAGTAAAATTACTAGTTAAATCCCAATTATAGAAATGTGTCTTTTTACTATTTTTCTAAAATTTGTCATCTGTCCCTTCTTACACCATAGGCGTGGAATATGGCACAGCCAGAGGGCAAACAGATCCAATATCTTATTTTTAATTTTAAAGGAACTTTACGAAATAATAGATACATTATTAAACTAATGGGTAAATTTTTTACAAAGAAAACAATGTACATAACCTTGATCTGGGATTTTATCAGCAGAATTTGATTTTATATATCTCTTGTAAAATTGCTTTATTTAACTTAATTCACTTTTTATTTACTATTTTTTTTAATGTTTACGCAATTTAAGTAATTTTATTTACTATATACTAGAGCTCAAAACCAAAAAAACTTCCAAAATATAGACTTTTGGTATGAATATTGATACATTTCTGGTTATCTCCTGATAGCGACGTCGTAAGAATTGACTACACATCTTTTGCCTTCTACTTTAAAATAGTATCACCATAAAATTCTATACCTTGCTTTTTTAAGTAATATATTTGATATTTATTCCCAATATTTATTTCCATTAACTTCTCTTAGACTTCTAATAAGTCTAATAAAATCGTCAATTTTTCTATGCATTGTTATCAGAAGGTCTACAACTCGACAGGATTCATCGCAAATATTTATTTTTCATATTCAAATATATAATGGTGATAATTATATATTTATCAAAATAGTTGTATACGTATATGGAGATATTGAACTCAATGAATCGCGTGTGAAACTAACTTGATAAATATGACGAGTGACTGCGTGTAAAAACAATATCGGAGTTTTGTAGAAATAGATTGTTTAATGATGTAATATTGAATCTAAATATATATGTTTAATTTTATATATATATATATATATATATATATATATTTATATGTGTGTGTGTTGGGTAGATAGGGACTTAAAGGTTCGTGGGTGAAAAGGGGCACCACAGATATCTCAAAAACAAATAAAGTTAGGATATTTTAAAAACAACAATCTTTGAAAGTAGAGGGAGAAAAATATATTACCAGCCATCACCTTAATTCTTACGACGTTGCTATCGGGACATATCAAAATAAATGTTTGAAAATCCATAACAAAAGTATTTTCTTTCGTTGTTAGTTTTTTTGGTCGTGAGCACTGTTGTTTAGTTTACGAGACTTTAATATCATTTTTAAGCATACGTTATTCAATTGTTTTATAAGATGTATTGTTAAATTTAAGTTATTGGTTGAATAATGTAGCTATTGTTTCGTGAAATACCTTCAAAATTAAAAATAAACTTTAAGCCCCGCTATACTCTACCGCATTTCTTAATTTCTTAAAATTTATACTAGTGGTACATTTAATTAACTTCCCCTATGGTAAATTATAGCAATCGCAAAAAAATCGAAAACTAAAATGATTGCATATCTTTACGTTTCAAAGGTTTCTAAACATTTTGGCATACCTCAGAAAAAATGTATGTGTGTGTGTATGTATGAATGTATGATTAGATACAATTTTTCGCCCACGATTTGAATGATTTAAAAAACATTCGATTACTATTGATGAGAATACGTGCTGATTAGTTTTTGGTGAAGACAGGTCCAGCCGTTTAGATGATACGGGGCAAAAAGTGCCAAAAACGATAACTCAGTTTTTGAGTGAACGGAGTACTCGAATTGAATGATTCAAAAAACATTTTACTTGTAATGACGAAAAGAATAAATGATGGATCTTTGGCAAGGTAGGTCTAGCGGTTTCGGATACATATACAAAGTAAAAAAAAGTTATTTGGCGAGCAAAAATGAACTTTAGACATATGCACATCAAATTATTAGATATTTTAACAATAAGTATAAATTTTGTTTACATTTTTATAGATTCCGTACCAATGTTTATCCATTAGACGGCGACGCGGCGCTTACGCGCTTCGATATTTCGTCTCTATGCAGTTAAAGCAGTACGATTGCTTTGAAAAAAAGTTCAGAATTTTCAAAATATTTCAAAATAAATTTTTCTTCAAAAAATCTTTTTTTCAAAAAAAAGTAAATTTTTGTCAAAATAGTTTCTCAAAAATCTATTTTTCTTCAGAGTTTTTTTTTCAAAAATGTTTATCTTTTTAAGAAAAATAATTTTTTGTACGGCAAGTTCCAGCAATCTGCCTTAAGGCACGATGCCATGCGTCCCACTAGTTTAATTTTTACATTTAAAAATTTAGATAAATTATTATATTTTCTCAAATTTTGCAGTGCTGATAAAAGTTCTTTCTCAAAATTTGTACTCGCAGTGCCTTCAATTATGCATCTAATAAATGATATTATTCCAATCAATTACAAATGCCATTATGTAAGAATCATTGCCGAGTTCGTCGAACGCTCTCAAGTCGCGAGATCTCGATGCATTAATATCATCATCGCAGCCGCGAATCGGCCGTGACTGAGGTCGCGATCTGTTCTGTATTTCGGGGTCGCGTTGCGTTTACATTTGCGTGACGAACGTGCGACTATGACAGTCGAGAAAAACTTAAGAGAAGAGAAACAAATATTGTTTAATGAAAGACGAAAATCGAATGTTTCTCTATTTAAAATGACAAATGATCTGTTTATTTAAGCACAAGGGACGTTTTTGGTATGGCAAACACGCCATGCCAAACTATATACTGCTCGACCCATTGCAGCGTATGATACTTGGCTCGTTACGAATTT